TTCCTAAGGTTTAAACAATAAGCTAACAGATTCATTCCCTTCATTAACCTTCCCCTAATCCAGAAAGGCCCTCATTCAGAACTCAATATTCCATTCTTCCCCACACTGGAGCCCTACTCCAAACCACTGAGACTTGTCATATTTGCTTGCCAGTTTAACTACCCTCATAGTGAACTTCTGGACTTTGCTCTCAGTTAACTGTTTGTGGTCTCTCACCAATGTTTCCTGTAGCAGTGGGGTGTGATATAAGCCGACTTATTTTCATTTTTGCCTTGAAACTATTAAAGTCCTTCCTGCACCATTTTTTCCCCAAACCATTTTTTCCTTCTGAGAGTTAAAAGAAGCCAGCCTACCCTGTAGTTCTGTACATCTTTCACTTTCTTATACTGTTCCAAGCAGCAAAAACCATCTGTTCAACATTTTAATCATCACTGAACGATTGCTCTGAATCTCATAGTATTTTAGGGAACAGTTTTTTGAATTTGCCAGTTTTGTGTCATGACAAACCACAGACTAGTAGCCTTTCAACATAGAATGGGGAGATTCCCCTATTCCTGCTTGTTCTTATGGCAAATGCCTGCATGTGGAGTTGCTTTACTTGAATCATGCTTGAAGCTCCAACTGTGTCAGGTTAGTCACCTTTAGGTTTCAAGGTTTTAGTAAAGGAAATCACAGTAACATTCACTACTGGAGGTCCAACAGAGCTGGACATTAGGCAAAGAAAAAGGATTTAGAACAGGATTGTATGCAACATCATCTGTAGTCACAGTGGGTCTAAGGATTCCCAGCTCTGAGATATTGTTGTTTTACCTTCACATCCTATCCAGCTCTCGACTAGGGCCATCTTATCACCTGCCAGTATGCTACCACTGAACTAGCATCCTACATACTACACACCAAATCTGGACATACAGACCTAAACCTCTGCATCTTGGACCTCCAAAATCCATGTACCCAGAGTCTGGGCAATTTGATCCACTATAGAGTTCTTCCCTCAGGCTCAGCTCAGTTGTTTGGTGACTAAATAGGATTAACCCACTATATCCACTGCTGGCCTTGGATACCAGACCACTTTTACCTTCCTATCCAGATCTCTACCTAGACTACCTTATTGTTGACTTGCTACAGCCCTTCTCTTTATATCCCCTCCACTTTTTGCTCTAGCTACAGTAATTCAATCAATAGTGTTAATACTTTTGAAAAGTGTTACTTTCCTGAGATATAAATCAAATTTATTATCTCTGGGAATTCCTACTCCTTTCCCTGGTGACTACTTCTGTTCCTCTATTAGAATGTAAGTTCAGGGAGGGCAGGGTCTGTCTCTATTTTTTACGTTTTTATTCTCAGCAATTAGCATGCCAATCAATTTTTCACATTATTGCCAAAATGATTTTCCTAAAACTTGGGACTGACCTGTTACTTTCCTATTCAATAAAATCCAATTATTTTCCTTTACCTTTTAACGTGGATAGGCAAACTAAGGACCTTGGGGCCAGTCTAGCCAGCAGCCTGTTTTTGTACTGCCTATGAGCTAAGAATGTTTTTTACATTTTTAAATAAAGTTGGAACATAGCCATGCTCCTTTGTTTATGTATTGTCTATGACTGTTTTTCTGCCATAATAGCAGAGTTGAATAGTGAGAACTGAAAACATATGTGGTATTCTCATCACTTCCCACTGTTGCTCTGTACTACAAATTATAGTGACGCAGTTAAAACTGGTCAGCATTTCAAGTGCCCCATGTGTTGCTGTACTGTGACTTTTTTAATAACCCACATTTTCAAAACAAGAAAAGAGAAAAATAAGTTTCATTATGATTTCTTACCTCAGGGCTGAAATTAAAAATTTACTGAACAAAGCAAAAAACTGCCCTCTGTTACTATTCTTAAACAATGAATGGCTCTGGAAATTAACTTTTGCCACAGATTTCTTAATGAATTCAACCTAAAACTATAAGTTAAATAGCACTTAAAGTAAAAATTTTACTTGGTAAAGTCCATGTGATGATAAGTAATGTTTGAATCACAAGTAATGTAGATTTATTGCTTTATACACGTCTCATTCTGTCGAAAGATAAAACAAGAAGCAAGATCTCCATTTCCCCATTAATTTGTAGCAGATATTCAAACTACAGTTCCAGCAATGTCTTTTGGATCTCTATGCAAGTGGGAAGGGAAATGTCTATATTTGAAAATCCATTTAACTGTGCAATTGAGGAACTTCCATCTAATCTTCAACTGAGTGATTGAATGACATACTAAAAGGCAAACATCAAAAGAATTCTATAAATGCCTTCCAAGTGATTAATATACTCAATTAAAATCATATGCTCACGGACTGTTATACTTAGCAGTGAATGTGTAAAAAGATATCTTTATAGATGAAATATATAAAATCTCATTACATATCAGCATTAATAGATGAACATTTGCAATTGATTTCGATCAATGCATGGGGAACACCTTTGAACCCCAGTTAAGTGAAATGTCATCCCCCCAAAAGAACCCAATGCTTTTCATTAGTAGATCTGTATTATAAACAATTGTACTCAATTACTATTTTTATATTTTGAATTCCATCAACAAAAAAAAAATTACTGAAATTTGTTTTCTCTCGTTATATGAATACCTATATAATATCCTCAATTTTGCCTCTTGACCACTATACCCTATGGACCATGGGACTTTTCCATCTGACTAGCAGGTGAAACTTTCCTATGTATTTGTTGTCTCCCCTATTAAAATGTGAACTCTTCAGAGTAGAAACTGTCTAACTTTTTTATTTCTATCCTCAGCATTTAAAAGTGTGTTGCACACAGTAAGTGCTTAATATTTGCTTTTTCATTCATTACTTATACATGATGTTCTATCTCCCAGCATTGTCTTTGCCCTGGATTTCCCCCATACCCAGGATGCATTCCCTCATCACCTCTGTTTCTTAGGATCCTTGACTTCTTTCAAGGCTTAGTTCTACATGAAGCCTTTCTGTATCTCTCCACCCCCTAGTTGCCAGTGGCCTCATCTTTTATCTATTTTATACATACAGATACAGGTGCAAATTGTTTTCATCCTAAGCCCCAATAGACTGTAAACTCCTACAAGGTAAATACTCACTTTGGTCTTTCTATTCTAAATCCCTAGCATAGCACCTGGTGCATAGTTAAGTGCTTAATAAATGCTGACTGACAGTGGTAGGAGTAAGAAGAGAGATACTGGTTATCTGATGTAGGGGAGACACCACAAAATGGGAGCAAAACTGGAAGAAGCAGCAACCTAGAATGAAATTTCAGCATGTTGCACTGACAGGGGAACAGAAACTGAATTTGGGAGACTAAGTCTGAATACAGGATCCACCACAGATTAATTGACCTGAAGTGGGAAGACATGTCATTTACTCTTTCAGTTTTTTGTTTGCAAAACTGTAGAAAATACTGATTCTACTACCTAATTCACAAGGTTTGGAAGAATCCTATAAATTATAAATCCCTAAATTCACTGATTTTTGTTTAAAAATAAAACAAAAAAAGGACACTTTCACCACCCTGCCTTCTTTGCCCCAGAACTAAGGAAATCAGACTTTGTCTTAACCAATTTCCTATTAACTTCTGTGGAAGGTATAAAAGTCCTATGAGATTTTAGTCCCTGATGTGATAAACTAAGAGTATTTCTCTCCAGGAACACACTTTTCCTGAGTCTTAGTGTCTTCATTTGCAAGAAGAGTGGCTTTGACTACATGGGAAACTGGCATAGAGAATGGCCTTGAATCCAGAAAGATTTAGGTACAAGTCTTTTATCTGACACATACTAGTTGTGTGAATCTGCCAGCTAGGTGGCTAGCAGAGTGCTGAAGCTAACTATGTAAATACTAGCAGTTATTATGGGCAAATCATTTAATCTCTCACTGCCCAACCAGTACTTTAAACTATGTTACATGTCATGTGTCACAGGAAGCCTATACACCTTCAGAATATAGGACTTCCCTTTTAAAATGGGAATTTCTTAAAAGGAATGTGTGTACTTATCTGTAAATATATATATATATGTATTCATTATATTATACATATTAAATATATAAAATACCCAATCATATTATATTCAATATATATTCATTCACTCATTCATTTATTGAGTTGCATGTGAAAAAAAGTACTAATGCACTCGGATTTTCTGCAAGCCAGACTTAAGGGAAAACGTGTAGAAAAGGGAAACTATATTCTGACAGCGTAGGAAAGGCGAGTTGTCATTATTTCACCATGATCGTTGCGAAGGGGCGCAGACAGGATGGTTACTCCAGTAGAAGGAATAGTTTTAAAAGGATCCGTTCGCACTCTCGGTTGCTCTCCCAGGTGAGTAGGGGCCGAACTCCTATGGAAGAGGGAGTCAGCCTGCGGCCCAGAATGAAGGTCACTAAAATCCAAGACGGAGACTGCGCAGAGGCTGCGCCCACTCCCTTCCTCTTTTAACACTGATGAAAACTCCACCACCCCAACGTCCCCTACGCCAGGCTTTGCTGGAAACAGAGGGACAAAGCACCGACGTCACAGGTTAAATTTCGTTTCCTCTTCTGGCTCCGCCCCAAACCGCCCAGGCGTGGGTGGGGAGGGTGCCGGAACTCCCTTTCCCGGAAGCCTTTACGCGAGTCCGTAGCCTATAACTCCCGGCATGCAGCGGCTTCAGCGCTTCTTGGGACTCCGGTTGTCTCCCGGCTCCCCTTCGAAAGGTCGCTGGTAGACGGAACGGCACTTTTGGTCTACTGATCGGCTCGCCTGCGTGGATGACCTTGCCGGCTCCACCACGTCGTGACTCGAGTTCCTGGCTCCGAGCGCCGCTCCGAGCGGGGAGACCAGACATCTGAAGTGGAAACGAGGCACCGGGAGTGACGCCACGGCTAACTAAGGCTTCACTGTCTTCCAGAAAACACGCGTCACCGCCGCCATCCCCGAGGGACAGCTGTCTCAACCAATAGATGGAGAGAGTTCTTCCGCGCGGGCGCGAAACAGGACCAATCACAGGCGAGGAGCGGTGGGCTTTTCCCATCTAGTTCTATTTCCTGGTCTCTTCTGGAATACCTGATTCCCCCGACCCTAGAGGTGAGTGGATTTATGGACTGCGGCCCCTCCCTCATTCCATCTGGTCTCCTCTGGCCGGAGTCTTGGGACGCCGCGTCTGGGCAGGGTGAAGGAAGCTGCTGCTCAGGTGATCGCCGGGAAGGGAGAAGCTGCTGGGCGGGGCTGAGCTGGGAAGTGCTGGGCAGGGCCAGGGTAGGGCAGCGGAGCGCGAGGTTTGGCTAATCTCGGTCCGATTGGGCATCGGGAGCGCCTGGGGGGAGACCGGGGAGGATCGCCGGAGTCGGGCCTGCGCCCTGAGCCGAAACTGAACCCTGACATGCGCTGTGAGGTGCAGCCCCTCGGCGGCCGCTGCGGAGACCCCGGCGTCCGCACGCCCCTCAGCCCACGGGACCCCGGGAGTATGGAGAGAGGAAAGGAGACGAAAGAGTAGGGTCCAGAGGCCGTGCATTGGGGTCAAGAGGGGAAGGAGACATTGGACCAACCTTTGAGATGCCACAGTGTTTGGGAATTTCCCCTCGAGTAGAAGGTTCATAGGTCAGGCAGGTCACTGATTCTCAAAAACCACAGTAACGTTTGCCCAAATATACTTACTTAAGCGCCCTGGTCTTCTTGTAAGACGTGGTTGGCAGACCTTCTTTTCTTTACTATTAAAAGATATATTGAGTGCCTACTGGTAGAGTTCAATGAGGCTTTAGAGGTTATACAATTAAGCTCTTTCGGTTTTTTTTTTTTTTTTTGGCATGAGAGAACTGAACCATAAAGCAAGGAAATGACTCCTCCAAGACCACACTCAAAGAGTTTGTGGCAAAGCTGGGACTAGAACTCCTAGACCAGCTCTTTTTGTGTCACAACCCGCTATGGCAGTCTGCTGAAGCTTACTTACCTCAGTAATTTTTTAGCGATTCATTATTGAAGAACATGCTAAATCTCCAAGGCTAATGGGGAAAAAAGTTAAGATTTAATTCTTACCCCATCCAGATTCATTGGCTGGACCCTCGGGTTAAAAACAAACAAAACCCACAAACCGTTCTCTGGACATTAGCTCCTAGTACTCTTAGACTAGAAGACTGGTCTTCCGGCTTACAGTCTTGTGTACTTTAACATTATACTTTATTCTCATTGTTCATTTTTGAACCACATTTGTCGGTCTTCATCTTTATGAACCTCTCAAGTATCTGGCACTTAATGATATTTTCTATTGCCTTGATTTCTGTGACATTACATAATTAGATTTCTTCATTTCTGCAGCCATTCCTTTTCTATATCTTTTGATGCCGTTCTTGCTACTATAGGTGTTAACATAGTTCTGTCTTTTGTTTTCTCTAGCTCCAGAGAATGTAAGCTCCTTGAGGGTAGAGCCTTTGATTTTGAGGAGCATAGTAGCTACTTAATAAGTACTTGTTGAATTCTTGTGTATTTTCTATGCCTTCCCACTAGGTAATCTTATGTACTTCTGTGGCTTCAGTTGTCGTCTTTGTAGGCAACACCAAAATCTCCAACTCTTACTTCTCTCCAGAGTTCCATACTTACATTTTCATCTGCCTTCTAGATTTCTATTTCAATATTTTGTTGGCACATAAAGCTTAATAAATCCCAAACTGAACTCTGTTCTCTCTTAACCTTCTTTTCTTGATTTCCTGTATCTGTCAATATACCACCATTCATCCCAGTCACTTATCATTGCGATTTACAGAATATCTGGCTCTTTTCTGCCTCAGGTTTGGTCAGTTGCCAAGCCCTGTCATTCCTCCAAAATAACTGTTGAATTAATTTTTATCATTTATTGTAATGCTAGTTCATCCTTAATCTAGGCTGTTGCAGTGATCTTCTAATAGGTTTCCCACATGCCAGTATATCCTACATATGCTTCCAGATTAATATTTCTAAAGTACAAATAATCTGATCCGTGCATTCTACTACTCAAAAACTTTGATGGCTTCTTATTGCCTACTAAGTAAAGTAAACAAAAAAAGCTTTATTCTTACATTTAAGGCCTAACACAGTAGAGCTTCAATCTACCTTTCCAGTCTTATCTAAGTGCTGTATATTCTGCCATTATGTATTCTACACTTGAGTCATGCTGAACCCGGATTCCTCCCGAACTCCTTCTACCTCTACATCTTTGCTCATGTTGTTCCCTTCAGTCTCCATCTTTTGACAGGTTAACTTGTGGTTCAAGGCTTAATTTGTAAATTTTGTCTCTGAATCGTACACTTGAAGATTGGGGGAAAATATTATATTTCCTTTACCTAATCTGGTAGCACTTTATACATTCTGTACTTCAGTGTATTGGAGAATATGACTCAAGAACAAGAAACAAAAGAGGTGAAAGGCTTGTAAACTGCCTCAGTCCTGCTATCCCATGAGTACTTTTCTCAAGAAAAGATGTCATGCATAGTGATCACTAAGTAACATCACAACAAAGTGAAGTTGACTTCATATATTGGGAAACAACTAGTTACTAAATAGGAATCGTTTTCAAATCAGTGGTATTTGTACTGTAATTGAGTTGTTAAAACTGATCAAAATCAGTGTTAAATGTGAACATATGGAATAACACTAAAAGGGTGTTAGTCTGACTAACTAGTTGTTGGCATTGAAAAATAAGAAGTGGGTAAAGGAACAGATAGCAACTTAGACTATCACTCTTTCCTTTGGAAGTTTGACAGCAGTCACCACAGTGAGGAAACCAAAAAAGCCAAGAAGCTACCACAGCCAGCAAATAATTTACTCTTCTTTTAGTGGTACATGGTAGCTAAGGGAAGTTTTGGTTAAGAACATAAATTCATTTCCAAAATATAATATAGAAGAGTGATGGAAGATTATAAGCAGTATCGTCTCCTAAAATAGTACTGGAGTGAAGATAAGTGTGCAAAGCATGTGGTAGAGAATCAATTAGACCAGCCCTGGGAGGAAGATGAATAGATGAAAAAGATACATCAATTTCTTTACAACAAACTGTTTTTTCTTTCAGTAACATTGGGACCATCGCATTTGGATGATAATATCTGTCTCATGTGCTGCATGAAAAATCAGAAATAGTACTAAAGAAAACAGATAGGAAGACCAAGAGGAGACTTCCATTTAGGACATGACAAGATTTTGAAGGGTTGATTCTAAAGATCTCTGAAAGAGAGTATACAGATGTTAGAAAAAAAAATTAGACCAGGCATGATGGATAGAAGAACAAGCTTCATAATCAGAAAGACCTAGATTCAAGTTTTACACGTGTCACATAGTGGTTGTGTGACTCTGGGCAAGTTAACGCAATGTTCTAGGCAATTCTTTAAGGCCATAAATTGCAGTCATTGGTAGAGGGAATTTCTTCCCTGGCAGTGATGGAATCTTCTACAAAAGCTTTGAAAAAAGTTTGTAAATAATATTAAGGACAGCCTACGTGAACATATGAGGAAGAAGAAGCAAGTAAACTTTTGTAAATTATATTCTTTAGTGACCACATCTTTTAGTCACACAATTGACTGAAAGGTAGAAAAAAATACAAAATCCCTCTGTATATTGTCTTACTGTAAAAAAAAAAAAAGCATTCAGCTGATCTAAACGCTACTTAAAGATTCTCCAACAAGATATCTGTCATGTACATGTAAAAATCATAAGATTCCTTGAAAGACAATAGAAAGAAACTTTATTCTCCATTATTATTATTGCCAAGCCCGGCATAAAACTGGAAAATAGGCTCACTAAAGGTATTTGCCACCATCATGGAAGACATCTAGTTCAGAATCCAAATGGAATGATCCAAATGATGAAGTCCTCCAAATTTTACAGTTTTCAGATGACATTGTTTTGATTTTACCAAGCCTCAGAACATTGCAGAGCCCACTTAATGAGATTCATGGTTATTCAAAAGAGTTTGACCTAACAGGAAAACAGAAATCAAATGGATAAGGAATGCTTGTTCTCTAGACTAAAAGCAATGCAGTTGGTTAGAAAATGCATTGAGCCAATTGTTAGTACATATATTTTGGAAAAACACTTAAGATGGTCAATCTAATTTTATTATCTGTCTACATATGTATCATGACACTCCCGCTAAGATTATAAGTCCTTTGAGGATAAGGACTGTGTTTAATCTAGCACAGTGTGTTAAACATACTGGGGCCTAATAAATATTTGTTGAATTTCAAGTAGCACTGTGATAAACATTGAGCAATGATACTTGCAGACCTGGTGAAATGTTTTTTCTCGCAATTCAGCTTGGACATAAATACAATAACATAAAGAACTAACCAGTCATAATCTGGCTTCTGTACTAAAGCCTCAAATCTTTTCTCTGACTTTTGAAGAAAAATGAGGAAGTTGATGTTTCTAAAGTTTTACCCATCTCAGATATCTTTAATCATGCTGTTTCAGAACTTCCCATTTCACATGACTCCCCCAGATTCAGCTTTGCCTTTTGTTATTTTGGGGTTCTTTGTTCAGCTTCATTCTAGAGATATGAGGGGGTACAGGAAGGTGATTCATAGTTTGGCGAAGGGGGTAAGAACGAACTGTATAGCCCTGTATAGGTGGCGCAATGCTGGACCTAGAATCAAGAAGACCTGAATGTAAACCTGGACATTTACTAGCTGTGACCCCAGGCAAGTCACTCAACTTCTGTTTACCTCAGTTTCTTCAACTGTAAAATGGGGATAATCATAGTACCTATCTCCTGTGGTGGTTGTGAGAATCAAATGGGATAACATTTGTAAAGTGATACATATTAGTTACATAATAAATGCTTGTTTTCTTGTTTCCTTTAGATAGTAATGTTGTCTTCTCTGTTTCCTTAGGGCTCTGTGTGACATAGTCAACTAGCAGAAGTCAAGATCCTGTTTGAAAGGGCCTCCTTTCAGACAAGAGATTTAACATATAGCTGAAATTGTGGAAAATCTGAGACTGACAATGGCTGCAGAAGCGGTCCTAACACCCCCAAAGCAAACAGGGTCCCTTATACTGAAACTGGTGCCAGGCCCTAAAATGGGTCAGGATGCTCTACAAGAATCTTCTGTACCTCCCAAGACCATCCACCAGTTAGTACTGGAGCACTTCTTTACCTTTCTGCCAGAGAAGAACCAGTCCCAGAATCATAAGACTGGCAAGGAAGACACCATAATCTTAGTGAAGGATGTTACCTCAACACTGCAGAACAGGGGTAAGAAACAAAAATTTCACTAGGGAGAAAGGGAGAATCTTATCCCTACTCTTTCCCCAAAAAAGGTGAGAGGTATGGAGCGATAAGTATTTCCTTGCCTAGGATAGTGGATATTGTTTGGTTGATATTTCTTCCTTTCTTCCCTTGACCAAGTCAAGTCTCAGTAATCAAGAGAGTAATTATGTCCTTAGCATAAAAGGTGTATGAAGGTGTTAGTCCTGCTGTACTCAGCTTTGGTAAAATCACATCTAGAGTAGTGAATGTAGAGAATAACTGGGAAGGGCAGGAGGTTTAAAGTCAGTTCATTTAAAGATGAGTTGAAAGAATTGAGGATATTTAGCCTAGAGAGAAGATTTAGAAGAGCAAAGCCTTGACACATAAAGAATTGTCATTAGACTTATTCTTAACTAGTATCCGTGGGTAGAAGTTGAAGAGAGGCAGACTTAGGCTTTTTTGATAACTGGAGTTGCCCAAAAATTGGAATGAACAGTCTTGGAGGTAGCAGCAGTTACTTTCTCCTACTGCAGGTATTTAAGCAGAAGCTGGATGATCACTTGGGGGTTGGGGGGATGTTATAGAGCAGATTCAAAATTTAGGTAAGGATTGGATTAGATGACCTTTGAGGACACTATGATTTTAATATTTATGCCTTGGTCTCTAAGAAAGATTGATGCTGCTAAGTCTGATACAGAAGGGGATGGGGCAGCCTAGCCTTAGGAACTGAGGGAGAATCCGAACCCCGATAATTTGGAATCTCAGTATTGTCTGTCATTGCTATTCTCAGCTCATCCTGCTTCCTGGGTGACTATTTTTCCGAAGGATAGGCGTGTCCATAAACGGGAAGTGGGGCCCCAGGCATTTCCATCTGAACTTCAGGTAAGCTGCACTTCCTTCTTTCTCCTGAATGCAGCCTTCTCTTTCCTGTTTCAGAACTTTCCTGCCCAGAAAACCTGATTCCAACAACTTCATGTTTAGCTTAAAGGGAGGAAGGAACTGGGTGGTCCTATGCTACATGTTCTTTATAGGCTGCTTCTTCACTGCTCCCACCCCGGCTGCTATCTTTAAGTCTCTGATATTTTTCCATCTATGCTATATTGATAATAATACTCAAAAGTTCATTTTATCTCAGTTATAACTTTATCTTTTTTACCTTAATATCTCTTTCTCATCAAGGAAATTAGGACCGTCTCAGAGAAAATAAGTACTAATTGAGGAGTCTGTCATTGTTTCAGGAGCCTGTGGTATTTGAGGATCTAAATGTGTATCACTCCCAAGAGGAGTATGTGGGCCTGGATCTTGCTCAGAGGTCCCCCTTCTCCAGGAATCATGGAGAGGAGGATGTTGGTGACATGGTCTTAGAAGGTAAGAATTCCTTGAATTTTGGGAGCTGTGGGGTATCGTAGCGTCATAACTGAAAGATACTTTGGAGACCATCTTGTCCAACCCCCTCATTTTGGTAAAGAAACTGACACCCAGAGAACCTCATAAAAGGATTTGCACCTAAGGTCCCCTTGTTAGTGTTAGACCTGAGGCTAGAATTTGGACCTCCCAAATCAGAGCCTTTTCATTATAGCAACACATTCTCCCTGAAACCTAAGGTACCTGAATAATTTCACATGCAGCTGTACTATTTTGTGAAAGTATCATCTTTCTTTAGTTCTAGAACTTCTGAAAGAGTTTCTGCTTTACATGTATACACACATACCCTTTCACCCTCTACCCCCTCTAGAGGTTACATTGAGCTTAATTTGTTGTTTAGAAGAGATATTTTGAGATGTGGGAAACTATTGAGTTAACAGTATGGGTTGATATGTTGATATGTTACAGAATCATATCAGAAATACAAATGATAACAAAAACTAATGGAAAATTTAAGCAGACTATTCTTAAAGATATCAACATGTGAACTCTGTGGTGTCTGCAAGTTCATGGATGTAGGATGAGATTCATTTACTGATACTCCATAAACATTGGGAATCCTTATCTTCAGCTCAGTTCTGCCTGTTTTATAACCTCTCTTCTTTGGTACTAGCCCTTTTTTGGAGCAGCACAAAACAGGTCTACTACTTCTGCATAGTAGCTCTTTAGTTATTTCAACATATTTTGCCTCTCCTTATTGTTCTCGGTTAAACAACCTTACTTTCTTTAAGTTTCTTTTATGAAATGGTTTCTAGAACTCCTAATCACTTTCGCTCAAATATATTCTTATTTGTCACTATCCTTCTATTGAGGCACCTAGGCACGAACCACGTGCGTTCCAGAGTTGGTTTAACTATTACATGATATGATAGAACTGTAATTTACTACATTCTGATGTAATCTATGTTAATGTATTTTAAAAAGTATTAGTACAACATACTGCTGGCTCCTACTCAACTTGTGGTCAACTAAAAGCCTCAGAATGGGAATTAAAACCTGGTTGACCTCAGTGAGTTCAAGTTACCAGGCCTGGTTCCATTCCAGGATGCTAATCTAATTTGCAGATGTGATTTCTCAGCTACTATTGGTAATCTTTGAAAAATCATGGAGTAGGAGAGATGACAGGACTGGAGAAAAGTGAATGCTTTTTTTTTTGGCTTTCTAAAGGGGAAAGGAAGTAGGCTGGTGGATTTAATTTCAATTCCTAGAAAAAATCTGGAACACATTATGAAAGGATATTTTATGAACATTTAGAAAAGGAGGCAATGATGAGTCAACATGGGTACTTTCCCCCCCCCACAGAATCCAACCCTATCATACCAAACTGACCTGATTTCCTTTTTGACAGAATTACTGGACATTGACTGAATATACTTGAATTTTGGGAAGCAATTTAAGAAAGTTTTTCATGATGCCTCCCATGGATAAGATAGAGAAATATAAGCTAGATAATAGTTCAGTTTTATGTGTTAATCTGGGAGACATAACTAACACATTGAATGAGAGTTGAGATACAAAAAGACCTAGAATCGTAGTCCCCAAACTTTTTGTTTTTAGGATCCCTTTACACTCTTAAAAATTATTGAGGATCCCTCCCCAAGTAACGTTTGTTTTTATGGGTTATAGCTGTTGATATTTACCATATTAAAAATTAAAGTGCATTATCATTATTATTAATTATTATTATTATAGTTTTTGTTTTGTGGATTCCCTGAAAGGATCTTGAGGACCTCCAACGTGGATCATGCTTTAAGAACCCTTGTTCTGGAACAGTAATCTGAATATAAAAATTGGAAGGGCATGTGCAATTGAATTTTTTAATCCAAGTTACAGAATGGAGAAGACATGACTAAAACTTCATATGGAAAGAGATCTCAGGTTTTTGGTGGACTATTAAGTTCAACATGAGTTGAATATTATATAATAGTTGAGAAAACTTGATGTATTCTTAGGCTATATTAATGAAAGTTATAGTATCCTGTTTTACTCTACCCTGATCAGACTATATCTAGAAAATCAGGTTCATTTTTGAGCACTGTGTTTTAGGAAGAATATTGATAAGCTGAGATCATACAGATGTATGAGATGATAAGTAGACTGGAAGCCATTCCTAAGAGGGTGATTAAAGGAACTCTGGAAGAACATACTAGCTTTCTTCCTGTATCTGTCATGGAAAAGAGCATTTGATTTGTTTGATCCCAGAGGGCAGAATTTGAAGCAGTCAGTGGAAGTTGCTAAGACACATTTTGGCTCCATATAAATTAAAAACTTTGAGCTATGTGAACTGCTACAGGAGACATTTTGAGTCCCCATCACTAGAGATTTCAGGGATAAACTAGATGTCTGCTTGTTAGTGATGTGATAGAGGATATTCCTGGTCATGTAGGAATAGATGTTCTTGAAGGTCTCTTCCAGATCTGAGAGTCTGATTCTATGAATGATGCAGTGTATGTTTGGAGGACCAGTCTGGTTGTGCCATAGCATTTTTATTGGGTAATATTGTGGAGAAAGGGAGAGAAAGGTAAGTTGAGGACAAATTGAGTAGAAGTTTGATGTAATATTGCCTGCAAATAATGTCTTAGCTCCTTAACTGGGAATTCAAGACCTTTTACAGTTTTCTTCCTCACTATACCAGTGTGCACTTAACCAAATCATTCAACTTATCAGTCCTCTAAAATGTCTTCTACTTTTCCACCTCTCTGCCTTTGTTCATGCTGTGTTCTTCTTCAGTGTCTTTCTCCACATCTCTGCCTTTTGATACTTTATCTGTCTTTGATGAGAATATTCCTATGTGACACCTTCCCTGATAATCCCCTATCTGAAAGTGATCCCCTTCCTTATTTGAAGCCTCATAGAGCTTTGGACCTCTCTTAATGAATTTTGACGCTCAGATCTGTCGTAGAATTTGAGAGCTAGAAGGGACCTTAGAACACAATTGTCTTCTCTATGTAATATCTACTTTTTTTTCCCCACAAGATTGTAAGCTCCTTGAGGAAAGAGACCACTATATATTTTTTTCATCTTTGTATCCTTTACGTTGTCTTTAATAAGTGTGAGTTGAATTGAACTGAATAAGATTGAATGATAAGAGTAGTATTTTAAAATGATCAGTCTGGTAGGACTGCATGATAGATTGAGGAGAGAAGCTGGCGGCAGGGAGAGTAATTTGGTGACTGTTGTAGTAATCTTGAAGTGGAGTGGTGAAGAATTGGACTAGCGTGGTGACAGGATACAAATGGAAAGAATGGATTTGAAAGATGTTATTAAGGAAAAAATCAATAGAACTTGGTGTTTGGATGTAAATAAAAGAAATCAAAGATGGTGCTAAGGTTTAGCTGTGATTGAACTAGGAAAATGGTGCCTTTTACAGAAATATGGAAATTAAAAAGAGGAGCCAGGTTAGGAAGGAAGGTTCAGTTCAATTCAGCAAACATTTATTAGGCACCCACTATGTACTAGGTATTAAGGATGTTGTTCTTTCTTTGTAGTCAAGTAGGACCAATAACATCATGATGTTGGGATCAGGGATACGAAGTCAAAGAATGAATCAGCCTCTATTCTCAAACTTACATTCTATTAAGAATTAAAACATGTCCATAGATAAGTAAAAATTAAGTAAATCCAAAAAATATAAAGCACTAATATGAAGATCAAATTCAAGCTAAAAATTTAATTTTAAATTATTGTAAAACATCCAGGTCAGGGTGCTCAGTGGGCATTTGAATATCCACAGCTGGAATTGTGTAGTGAGGTCAAAATTAGAGATGTAACTTTAACATATATCATTTTTGTAGAGGTGATAGTGGAAGTGGTAGAACTCAGTGAGGTCATTGGAGAAGAAACTGTAAAGAAAAGAATAAAGACTAGAAACTGAGTCATTGAGTATGAGCATGTAAGAAGTAGAAAGAAGATGGAGAACAACTAATTAAGACAAAGAAAATGTTAAGAATTTTTATCATTTTCTTCCAATCCTGACTTAGTAGGTATTGTGATATCATGTCTGTCATCCAAAGCATGTATTGAATGCTCTGTCGATTGTACAAATGCTCTTACCCTCTGACATAAATATGATGACCTGGACTTAAAATGTTGAGGGCATATAGACAGAATAAAAAGCATTATACTAATTAATGAATTGGTGGTGAATATTTCTAACATATTTCAGTTGAGAGTTAAGTACTTGCTAGGTATTTGAGACAGGGGGCAGTACATAATTGGGATAAAATTCAAGAAGAGTAGCTTCACAGAGTTGTAATGAGGATCATTTGGTGAGAGAATGCTTATAAAGTGCTTTGCAGACCTTAAAGTGCTATTTAAATGTTGATGATGATAATATTATTTAAGTTTCAGGTTCACTTTGGGCAGCCTTTCTGAAGTCTTCTTTTTGGAGAGAGTTTGCTTTTGTTCATTTCTTGAGGTTGCTATTTGATAAGCAATATAGACACTTGAGTTAGTCTTGGCTTTTGAAGAGTGACTGGTGGAGTAAATTGATTTTTGACCCCCTAAGCAACAGTTGTACATGGGCTCATTCCAGCCTGCCATCTCCGGAAACATCATCACTACACTGTATCATAGAATATCAGAATTGGAATAGGTATTAGAAGCCATCTAATCCAGTCTGTTCCTAAACAAGAATCTTCTCTACAATATCTGGTAAATAGTCATCCAGCTTCTGCTTGAAGGCCTCTGGTGAGGGTAAGCCAACTATTTTTCAACCCATTCTAATTTTGAAGAGTTCTAGTTGTTAGGAAATTTTTCCTTGCATCAAGCCTGTTAGCCTCTACAACTTCATCCCTTTTTAAATTTTGCTGTTGGAGAAAACTGATTGTTAAGCAGACCCTCTTTCTACCCCACCCCCACCTCCATGTAACAGAAAAACTGCTTCAATAATAGTTCTTGACATAGTACTCAATACATTTGGTAGGCATTCGATAAATGATTAA